GTGTGTGTGTGTGTGTGTGTGTGTGTGTGTGTGTGTGTGTGTGTGAGAGAGAGAGAGAGAGAGAGAGAGAGAGAGAGAGAGAGAGAGAGAGGATGGCTTGCAAGGGGCCAGAACACATTTTCCATCTTAACCTGCGGCTTACCCATACTGGATAGGCGCGTGACTACAACAGAGGGTCCTTGCTTGACACCTCTGTACAGCGTCCCTGAGATGGAAGATATGCATGGCGCAGGCCCAGCTATACACCACAACATTTGCCTCATCGGGAGGACTAGGATGAGCTCTGACTTATCCATCCAGTTCCGATCGTCCTTTTTCCTAGAAGTATAGGTGCTATATGGCTTAGAGTTTGTGTCAGAAGTACCTACTCTTTTTGTGACTCAAAGAGTGCGGTGGAATTTCAGTAGGATGTATGCACATGAGCAAGTACTCCATTCCATCGACCATTACGTGTCTTTGCCATGTTTTTAATATTTTCTAGTTGCTTTTTTTCTTACTTCACATTCATCTTTTCATGGAAAGGAATTTCTGCTTTTCACTGCAACTCCTCAGGAAACTGGCGAACGTTTTTGCTTGCAGGTATTTGTCAGCACTCATTACTCAGTCATTTCTTGACACCGGCTCAATATCTCGCATACTGGACCTCATCATCAAGCTTTGCTGGCAGCTGTGCAAGCTGATCGAAGCTAGCGATGCTACCCCGGATACTGCTGAAATAGAATCATTGGCCAAGGTAAGGAGATGTCGGCAACCTCCCTTCTCCACCCTTCTCCTACGGGCACCAGCCAACACTGTTGGCTGAGGCACTGCCAGTGTTCAATTATGATTCCAAGATACCATCCCAGCTAAAATTTGTTCACGATAGTTTGCTTAGATCACATGTTTTTTTTTATAGAGTTTTTATAAGCTTTTTTTGAAATTTTTAAAGTTTTTTGAAGTTTTTTTCTGGATGTTTGTTGCACTTGCACCACTTGCGGAGCACTTGCGTGGTGTGCTTGGTCTACTGCCACACTGTTAATAGGTTGCACAAATGTACTGACAAATTCACGTGCCATTTTGAATTCCAGTCGTGAAGCAGCAATTGTACCCTGCATGGTGTTGTTCTGACTGCAAATTTATTGTGCTCGCCGTTTGGCAAGAAGCAATAATATAAACAACCCAGCAACCAGCAACCAGGGGTTACCAGTGCCGCCCTTCTCGACTCCATTAATAAAGTGGCAGTTGTGTGACTTGTGTCCCTCAGAATAAATAAGTGGCTGGTTCTGCACTTAGCTCCTCCGCTTGTTGACAGAGATTGCTGTGCAAATTATCATCATCCACTGAAACCCTCCCTGGTCTCATGGGTTTACCTTTCCAGTTCTCTGTGCGGCAGAATCCTGTTGATGATACGACATTTGCCTTTGTGCCTTCAGCCTTCTGCAATTACCGTTGCCTTTTGCAGTTCGTGAAATTTTGTTCTTTCCGAAGAAATGCTGTGCCTCGTCTTGGAACTCCCAAGTTTTTGCTGACTTCAGTTTGTCCATATGCTGACATTGCTGAGTATGTGTTATCATGCGTTAAGTTCGGGAGCTCTGGTTTGCCCGTGTGTCTGAAACACTGACCTATGTGTGCTGTCCTGAGAACCGGAGGCCCGGCGGTGGAGGGTGATACATCTTTAAATTGGGCAGAATAGAAGGGTAGGAGTGAAATTTAGAAGTAGGAAGACGGACAGGCAAAAGGCAGGCCCTTGTATACCGGACAGTAGTTGGTCCAGATAACAGTTAGATTCGTGGAGTGCCCAGGAGAGACTCAGCTGAAGTCGTTATTTTCCTGCCCAAAGGAGTGTCTGGTAGGCTCTAGAAGCTCCCAGCTAGGTCTTAGAGGAGCCCAGTAATCCCCAGTTCAAGATCAGAGAGGTCCGCCAACTCACCAGTGCAAGAGGATAGAAGTACAGAGCAGTGGTTGGGGTGGCAGCATTTGTGGAGGCAGCTGGCGAGTATCATGTTGGTCCACCAGTTCGTTTCCAACTGGTAGGCAATGGGACCAGCTGGGGAAGCTTGGTGGTAGAGGAGAGGAGCTGCTGGCCTATGCATGAGTTCCCAGGTGGAAAGAGGTAGTGTGAAGGGGGTATGGATGGAAGGGTCTTCTTCATCCAGCCGCTGTGCAGGGGATCTCTGAGGCAAGCCAAGGTCGTAGAATCTTGAAGAGAAAGGGCATCAATCGAGGGACTCCTTTGCGTCTATGGTAGATTCCATCATCTCTTGCCTTTGAGTGGCACTTGACATATTCAGGCCATACAGGTCCAAGGAAAGCCTGACCTTGATCCTGATGTATGGAGAGGAGGAAGTCCCATCTTCGTGTTGTGGTCTGCATAACAGCGTTGGAGAGAGCTTGGCTCCTTGGAGTTGATGTGGAGGAAGGAGATGGGGAGGGGAGAGTTCAAGCTTGTGTTGGTCGAGCTCATTGCCTTCACTAGTTGCGAGGATGATCTCTCTGCACATATGTTCCTCTAGAGTCTGCTGTGTTTACTATTTAGTAACCGTTCATCTATTCTTGATTCCTTGCTTCAGTTTTTTCCATGCTACGATCTGGTTGACCAGATCCCAGTCCAGACCGTCTGCGTCTGGATGTCTGGCCGAAGTCCGGTCCAGTAAGTCCCGACGGGGAATTTGAAAAAAAAAAAAAATGGAGGCTGACCTCCAAAGAAAATGTTTTGGCCTTTTTGAACTATTTTCTGGGCCTTAGCCAAAGAGGGCTGAGCTGAGACTGATTCTGATTTTTGTTCTTTTGGAGAGAGAGAGACAGAGAGAGACAGAGAGAGAAACAGAGACAGACAGACAGACAGACAGAGAGACAGAGACAGAGAGAGAGACAGAGAGAGAGACAGACGGACAGACAAACATATGCCTTGAGGTAGGTATGGCCCGATTGAACCCCTGTTTGTGAACTGACTAATTTTATTTTATTTTTATTTCCAGGTGTCCAGATTTTTCCAGACATCAGTTCGGCTGGACATCCCGCTGTGTCCGGGTAACCATAGTTTTTTTCTCTTGCAGTTTCACTTTCATCTCTTGTCGTGGCTTCAGTTCATGTTTTTCGTCAATGAACGAAGGAGGATCTTTTCACTTCTCCAACTTTGTTCATCGTAAGGCAGTCAATCCTCGTTTCTCTGTTTTAATCAAGCATTTCTCTTTCCAGTGTTTCCACCTCTTCCAAAGGAGCCATTTGGAGAAGAACTTGCCTTTTTCTGGGGGGCACTTGTACGGCTTGTTTTCCACCACCATGTCATATCCAACCACTATTCCCAATCACGAGACTGCAGGCTTTGACATGAAGTGCCGTTGGACCTTTGGGATTTTGGAAATAATTGGTCTTTCCAGAGTGGTGAGACTCTGGGATTTTTATGTCTTTTCCTTCTTTTTCCTTCTTTTTCCTTATTTTTCAATTGGCGTGCTCGTTTTTCTTGTGATATCTTCTTACCCTTGTGGCAGCTTTTTCGGCAGAGGTCAATCTCTCTCTTCACAATCCTGTCAAGCAGTAAGCTATCGGGTAGTCAGCGGGCGCCTTTTCTTCGGCAGTTCTTGCTGCGCCTGAACTACAACAACTACTTCCATGTACGTGTGCACACACATGGCTTGCAACAAGCAACAACTACCGAAACCTTATGTCCTGCCATGATGGATGATCTTTTTTCACTGTGTTACTTCTGAACAGCAAACGTGGATCACAAAGAATTGTGAGGGTACAAGGAAAGGAGAACAAAGAAGCTTCCACAATAGAGTCGTTATGTTAGGGGAAAATAGACTGACCTGCCTGGGAAGAGGGGCAGGGAATGCCAGGGCAGGAATCATAATCAGAACCAGAAATTTTGGAAGTGAAAACAAAAAGGGGAAAATCAGAAAAGGAGTCCCTAAGAAACGCGATAGATATAGCAGAATTAAACCTAGAGAAACACCTAACCGAATTCTATGCAGAACAACTCTGACCGAATGGACTAAACTAAAGCTCAAAGGCCTCCAATTAAGAGCCAGGGTGAAAGACTGGGAATTGAACGAAAGAATGTCCAAATTCTTCTTCCAGAAGATAAAAACCATGGCTACGCCGGACCCGGACATTTCCGGACATGGAACCAGACTTGTGTCCGGTAGTTTCCGGACATTTCCGGACCTCCGGACATGGGGGATCCGGACGGTCCAGATGCCTGGACAGGTCCGGAAATGCCCGGACGGTAAAAAAAAAAAAAAAAAAAAAAAATCTGAAAAAAAGTATTTTATGCAGAATAACAACGCCAACCACTTTTGCCTCGGAGTCATGTCAGAATTCCAAACCAAACTTGAGTTAGAAGTCAAAAACTAAAAAAAAAGCTTTAAAAAATACTTAAAAGGTAATGAATTATTAATAATTAAAGAATTGGGGTTGTCTAATAAATTATTCTATAGAGAGAGCATGTCCGGACCCCTCAAAAAAGCATAAACGGGACTGAAAAACCCCCAAAACAATTTTGGGGGCTTCGCTCCTCAATGGGGAAGGGTCCTGGACCGTTTGATTTTTTTTTTTTCCCTCGAAATTTGGCAGATCCGGACCTTCCAGACCGGACGTCTGGAGTCCGGACTGAATCCAGATCGTCTGGACGGCGGTCCGGACGTCCGGATCGTAGCCATGATAAAAACAAACTCCAGAAATTCCATAATAGAATGCCTACGGGACGAAAACGGTAACCCAATGTCAGAAACAAAAAAACTAGTAAACATAGCAACCACCTTCTACAAAGACCTCTATACCTCCAAGATACCCATAGGAGGCCACAACTCAACAAACAAAGCAAGAGAGAAGTTCTTGATCCACGTAGACCAACCCATATCTTCAAAAACAGCCAAAACGCTAGAAGAACCCATAACATTAGAGGAATTACACAAAGCCCTTAACGACCTCAAACCCAACAAAGCCCCAGGGAGAGACAGCCTCTCGAAGGAATTCTGGATGGCTGGGTGGCACACACTAGGCGCACTCCTCCTCAGCTTCGTCACCAGAGCATGGGAGGAAGAAACTCTAGGGCCAAAACTGAGTACGGGGTTGGTGACGCTCCTATATGAAAAAGGTAACACAGAGGACATAAAAAATTACAGACCTATCTCATTACTAAACGTAGCCTACAAAATCCTAGCCAAACTCCTAGCCACCAGAATAAACAAGATCACAGGAGGATGCGTCCACCTAGATTAGACAGGGTTCATACCAGGAAGACTCATCCTGGACAATGTAATGTCTCTCCGTGAATCCACGAGGATAATCAACCAAAAACGTATCGCAGCAGCCATCCTCTTCTTCAATTTTGAGAAAGCATACGATCAAGTAAACTGGGACTTTCTCCAGGCCAGCATGGAAAGAATGGGAGTAGGTCCTATCTTTCGAAAATGGGTGAGAATATTCTACAACAACACACAAGGGATAGTTCAAGTCAACGGCTTCCTCTCGAACCCCTACCCAACAAGGCGACCCACTAGCAGCACCGATCTTCCTTTTTGTCATGGAGGCCATCGCCACCTTCCTGAGAACAGATACATCAATCGAGAGAATAGAGAGCATCACAGACGAACACGGTCAACACCTCCACATCCCCACCACCCTCTTATTCACAGACAATCTCACAGTACTAATCAGAGCAACAAACTCCTCCTTTCAAGCCCTGATAAGAGCACTGCAAGCATTCCAACTAGCCTAAAAAATGAAAGTCAACTGGACCAAGACAACAAGCTGGTGGACCGCAGTCACACCCCCTCCCACAGAATTAACCCCTCCAGGTCTCCAGCGGACAGATCCAGATTCACCAATCCGATTCCTGGGCATCAACCTTAACCTCAAAGGATGCCACCAGATTTCAGCAGCGACACTCTTGTCTTCAATGGTTAATAGGATGCACACCTGGAAAGCCACACACACTTCCCAGCCTCAGGCTTACAAAGCCAGTCGAGGAAAAAAGCTGCAGCTTTCCTATGGACAGGCAATCCGGACAAGGAACAGTTTATTCACAAGGTGGCCTGGCAGATAGTCACCAGCCCAAAAAGCAAAAGGGGCTTAGGTCTTATAGATCCAACCCGTCAAATACAGGCCTCAGAAATCAAATGGATCATAAGACTAGCCCTACAAATACGATCCCCGAAGATAAGTTGGAGACACAGATATACCAAGTCAGGGTTCAGGGTTCTGGCACTCATTACGCGACAAATCCAGGTTCCCAGTAAAACAGGCTAACTTAGGCAGGGGTGAAGGGTGGTACATCCTTCCCGCGGAAGTAATCAATGCCGTCCTTCAGGCCTCCACACCACAAGGGGGAGGAACGTGAGTGTGTACATCTTGTAATCTTTTCCGACTTGCTGGTGGAATAGGAACCGGACTGACGCTCCCCAGAATGGATAAGGAGCCGGAGCCATAAGGTTCCGGTTTTTTTTTTTTTTTTTTTTTTTTTTTTAAGGGGGTGGGGGGGGGACGGGGGGGGGGGGGAAGGGAGGGAGAAAAATCATAGGCATTATTTGGCTGTGGGATGCAAAATCAATCGGACTGCAATTACAGACGCTCTTGTCCATAGCTCTTTAATGTCAGTTTATCTACTGGATGGTGAAAGAAGCCTACCATCTTCACCCAAATAGAATGCCCGGTCATTATCACTGTATGTAGTCTATTTGGCTGAAGACGACAGTGTAATTTCAGTTTGCAGACCTGCCTTGTCATCCCGGGACTTTCAGGTGTCAAAAAGTGGACAAACCCGAAGTGGCTGAATGGACGAGGTTCAGTAGCATCGGCCTTTGGGACTGTTGAGAAACAACCATAGCAACAGGGGACATTCCCAGCTGGATGTGTCCTCATCCGAACGGCTGTTTGCATGTCTGCTGGACAACATGGAGGTCAAGAGCAAAAAAAAAAAAAAAAAAAAAAAAAAAAAAGAGAAAAAGAGGGTTCTCCTTCCCCTATGCCCCTCCATTCCCATCTCTCCTCCTCTGTGAGAATACCCCTGGCCATCCCCTCAACTCCCTATCCCTCCCTTGACCCATCCCAGCTTCCCAGAACTCCCCACTCTCTTACATGACCCCTCCCGCGGAGGACCTGAAAACTTGTGGAAAGCTCTTTCGTCCGCATCCAAGTGTCCCGATGGACTTGTTCACCTCTGGTGTTCCACTGCATGTCCGCGGATTCGACAGAGTCATCATCGCTGCTCTGGAACAAACTTGAAAAAGGCGGAAAAACTAGTCTCTGAACCCTGAAATGGCCAAACGAAACAAGTCCGACAGCATTAGCCCTGAAACTCTTCGAGTACTTTAAAACTTGATAAAAAGAAAAAAGTTACTAAAACTCGGTAAAACCGTAAAAAGTAAAAAACTATGGAAAGTATGGACTGAATGGAATGCTTGCAGCGATTATACTATCATTATAGGTTGGCAAGTTTTCATCGGTTTTCAAAGTCATATAGGTTCCAGTTCCTGCTAATCAGACGTGAGCTGGTGGGTAGACCAGTGCTATAGCTCCTGCATGCAGCAGCAGTTGTAGGTGAGACTGATAGGCTTGGATCGAAACCTGATGTGAACGTCGTTTAGCGCTGATGTGAAGGCCAGTGCAGCGAGTTTGAGCTCCTTCTGACGGGATGTCGTTTGAACGTCTGTTTTGGTGCAGAACCAGGCGCACAAGCAAATCTCCCGAGCGCCGGCTACACCATTGCGAGCGGCTTCCATGCGCCCACCACTTCTTGGGGAAGTGCACTCGATGCCGTCAATCATACTGTAAGCAGGTGTTATATTCCGTGGGAGGAGAGAAGGGGGCAAAGAGTTGGGCGAGGGGGGAAGGGCGATGATCAGATTTGTTTTTATGTGATAAGGAAGGCGTTGCTTTTTATATGACAAAGAGGTGTGAGGGTTAGCGCTGGACACTTAGTACAGAACTCCTGTTTTCGATGAAGTATGGATTCTCTGATGGGAAATGGATTGATAACTTCACAAGTCCTTAACTGAATCCTTCCCTTAATGGTATTGGGCTCCTGCAATCGTTTCTTTCTCTCACCAAATAAATACATTGTGACATCTGTAGTGGACACGCATGATTGAGAACTTGTCATTTCATTTCTATGTGAGGAAGGGTAGCAGTGGGGTGATGATCAGATTTTTTAATGTGACAAGGAATGCATTGCTTTTTATATGACAAAGAGGCGTGAGGTATTACAAAGAGGCGAGGGGTATGACAAAGAGTCGTGAGGGTTAGCGGTGGGCACTTACTACAGAACTCCCGTTTTCGATGAAATATGGAATCTCTGATGGGAAATGGATTCATAAGTCCTTAACTGAATCCTTCCCTTAATGGTATTGGGCTCCAGCAATCGTTTGTTTTCCTCACTAAATAAATACATTGTGACATTTGTAGTGGACACGGATGTTTGAGAACTTGTCATTTCATTTCTATGTGAGGTGCAAGGAATATGAGCAAGAGCAATAGACAGAAATCCAAGTTGCGAAATCACGAAGTAGCTCAGATAGTCATGAACCAAGCAGAGAGTGCAATGCACCAAGATACCGTCCAAATAAGAGCAATATGATGAACTCGAATGTCAATGTCGCCACTCTCTGGTCACACCAACACTGTATCCAATGTCGCACCTACTGTCTGGCGCCCAGTGCCCAGCCTATCTAGCCTATCTACGTTCTCGCAATTGGATCACTCTGAAGTCGAAGACCAATGTACGAGACGTCAACACCAATGCCGATCACCAGCATACACCAGGTACATTCTCTCTTCTCTCGTCATCACCCCTCGTCTCCCCACATCATGCGCCTCCTACCCGAAGACCACCTTCGTCATCACCTGCCTTGCACTCCTGCAGCCCGGCTATGGCTGCTGTGCGCCCGCTGCCCTTACAGCGCTCCTCACCTCAGCGCCGGTGCACACGTCCGACAGCATGCACATGCAGGCACTAGCGCAGCAGCGTGTCTGCATTGCCTTAAGGCCAGGATGCCTCTCCCAGGGGCTCACACTTTCCTTTATGGAAAGTGTGTAGCTGCCGGCTGTCCTGGCCTGGCGTGTGGGGGCCCAATAGCTTCAGTTGGGCCCCAAGTGTCTGCGCCCAGGCCCAGTTTCCGAAACTGGACTGGGCCTCGTGCAGTTAGGCACATCCAGGCAGCCCCCCAGCCTCCAAGTGGTTGCAGCATTCTCATTGGCTTGCGGCACATGTGTGACGACAATGCTGCTTCCTCATTGGCCCGTAACCAGTCCGGGATATGTCGGCCTCACACAGCGTGTTCCCAGGGCGCAACCGCCTGAGCCCTGGGCTCGACTGTACAGCGCAGCCCTTTGCTTCTGGAAAGAGCCTGGAGGCGCACGTTGCTCTGTAACCAACCGGCGTGCTGCAACTCTCTGAGTACCCACATATGGAAAAATTGTCGAGAACAGGCCTCACGTGGATATTCAGGCCCACCTTCACTTAGGGCGGGCACGAGGCTTGCTGGGGAGCACAGCCCAGAACACTTGTATGTTTGATAAGGGCTCCGCGAGGTCATTCCTCGCATTCCATCCCCCTTAGCTTCGAAGGTCCGCTGAGATGCTTCTACGCAGGTGCCTTCCCCTTCAGTCTTCGTTCGTACTCAGCCACGATCTTGTGAACCTGTCTTGACAAGCTCCTGTCTTGTGAACCAACGGTCTTCTTTTGGATCTGTATGATGCCTGAACCTGACCTGGTACTTCCTCATAGGTTTGGGCGGTCTACCCCTGCCAGCAGGCTTGTGAACAGGCAAATCTCTGTGTTCCAAGATGTTGTCAACGTCCACGTGGCCATCCATGGTTGGGGACAGCATTGACCCTCTTGTTGGGAACAGATCTGTCTCAGCAAAAGGTGCAAGTTTGGAAGCGTGAAATACAGTGTAAGTGCGCAGATGACCAGAGATTCTGATGACGTACGAGGGACCATCTAGATCACTACCCACAATGTCTAGGACTTCCCATGGACCAAAGTACTGAGGTTTCAACTTCCTAGAGATGCCAAACTCCTGTCCCAGTTCACTAGCCTTTACCAAGACGCGTTCCCTTACCTGAAATGTGGACTGTCGTCTATTCTTGTTCTCAGAGGCAATCATTGCCTCTTGAGACTTTCCGATATGCTCGACAGCCTGCTGCAACAGTTTCTCATACTGGACACCAAATTCAATGGTTCCAGGCGTTGCAGTGGGTCGATTTTCAGGTAGGCGGAAGTCCAGAGCAGATCTAGGCTTCCACCCCAAATGCAGCTGGTTGGAACTGACGCCGGTGGTGCTGTGTACAGCGTTATTGTACAGACTGGCGATGAGAGGAAGTTTCTCCTCCCAATCATTTTGGCTGGGCTTGATGTAACGCCTCAGCAGATGCTGCACCACATGGTTCATCTGTTCCGCTTGACCATTTGCTTCGCGGGATGATTCTCCGAAGTCATTTGGAGTTGACTGCCCATCTGTTCAGCAGGCTTCTTCCACATTTCACTTGCGAATCTGACATCTTTGTCACTGACAATGGTTTTGGGCAGTCCAACGTCACGCACCCAGTTATCCATGAATAACTTGATGACATGCTCTGTTTTCGCTGTTTCCAGCATAGGAATTAGTCCAGCATATTTAGTAAACCTATCAACTATAACGAATATGTGCCTTTTGCTACTCTTGCTGGTCACGAGGGTATCTACGAAGTCCATGGAGACACTCTCCCGGACCAGCAGGAATGGGCAATGGCTTCAATAACCCAAGCGGAGCTTGAGTTCGCAGCTTGTTCCGCTGACAAGTCTGTACATACTTCTTTACATCATCAAGCATATTAGGCCACCAGAAACGCTGCACTAAATCAGCACTAGTCTTCTTATAGCCGAAGTGACCGGTTGCGTCGTGACATTCTCCTAAAACAAAGTACGAAGAATCTCTCTAGAACGAACACACGACCTTTTAAAACCTGCCTTGTCAAGAAAGCGTAAGCCGTCCACCAACACAAACTCATCAGATGTGGCCTTGTCTCGGGCCTCAAGTTTGCGTATGATGTCCATCATGACGGGGTCTTCCTTATAGGCTTTCATTAAAGACCGAGTTACATCATCGGATAAGTCAAATTCAGTAATCAGGGCACCGAGGTTGTCTGCCTTACGTAATAGTGCATCAGCAACCTTATTGTACTCTCCCTTTACATAATCTAGCTTGAAGTCGTATTGATCTGGTCTCAACCCCGTAGCAGCCACATTCATGCTCAAGCCTCCAACAAGGGAACATGTGGGAGCTGCACCACCAGTAGGTGCGATACCTGCTACAGCAGGTGGGCGATGCCGGCCAGGGGTCAGCCGGTAGCATCAGGACCGGGCTTCTTCGATGGGCCAGTTGCTGTGCCTCTCCTCCGGTACGCTGCCCATATGAACATCAGCTGTCTCTGCTCAATGCCACTAGGGGGGACCAACGGCCTATTTCTAGGTGGCGGGTGCCAGGCTTGCCCAGGAAGGTACATGAGGCCAATGAGGTTTGAACCCAAGACCTCCTGAATGCCACTTGTGTGCCGTACCAACTGAGCTAGGCCTCTGGATGATCCTGTAGATTAGATTGTGCTATTTCCATGAAAATTATTAGAAGAATTAAAAAAAAAAAACTTTAGACCGCGAAATAAATGTCGTGCCGATTCGTTGCATTTTCCATTTTTGCAACTCTACCACGTGGGCCAACGGAGTAAGTACCCCAAATTTTGCGCTCAAAAGAATTACTCGAAATATCTGAAAATTGGAAGGTGTGTAGATTTGGTCATGATCTTTCCAGGGAAAATATTTTAAAAAGTAATAAAAACTAACGAAAATCATTTTAACCGCCCGGGTCCCGGCTGGCCAGCCCGTGCAAGGACAAGGGAAGGTTCCAGCCAAAAAAAAAAAAAAAAAAAATTGAAAAATCCCGAAAAAAAAACTATGTTATGCAGAAAAATAAACTGAACAACTTTTGCCTCAGGGTCATATCGAAATTCTTTACCATCTTTAATATAATATTCATATTAATTTTAGATCTGGTATCACAAAAAGAAAACAAAAGTATGCTTGTAAAAATATCATTCATAGGACTTTTACTCAGCATGCTAAGTGTTTTTCCATGTGTAGCCTGTATCCATTGTGCAAAGACAGGTTCAATCAAAATTTGTTTTTAAAAATAATTTATTATTTTTAATTTTTTATTCTTTATGGCCCGGCCGGGCAAGTGACCCCGGGCCACTCTGGTAGCCTAGGTACCAACCGATTCAACCTATCCAAAGTCTTGGCTGTATTTATTGCGTCCCTCTATGTGCCTCCAGAGGCAAGGGATGTAAAACTTTCTATGGGGTGAAAAGTTGAAAACAACATCGGTTAGCCGATCAGCAGCGCTATTGATCAATATTGGGCCCTCCTAACCCCATAGAATGGCCTATCCTTCCAAAGGTTCTTCATCTGAAAATCTTTATTTGGGACGGTCGTAACAGAATGTCAAATTGCAGCCCTTAGATCATTAAAAGTGACAAAGGGGGGCGAAATAGACATGATTTTGCACAACGACAGTAACCTCGATCTCAGTCGTCATGAAACTTGAACCTGGGTCTTGGAACGTATAACATGAAAGGGCACTGTCCATGGTGTTGTATGTTGGGCCCTGGCCTATTAGGGGTTTGCCTGATACAGTTAGCAGTCTAATGAGGATGCAGGTACGGGTTTGTGGTTAGACTGCTCATGTGTGTTGGTTACCTTAGGCTCTGCTTTGGGGGGGGGCAAGGATCTTAGGTGGGATGGGGTCCCGTTTGGGGGGAGGGTCGGCTTGGGACAAGCTCTGCTGGAGGATATCGGTGGGGAACCTACAGTAGGGGATTGTCTTAAACCACCACTACCCCCGCCATCATAAATCAGGGGGAACCGATAGCACAGATCCATGAGGGCTACCGGTAGCACAGTGGGGGGAACTGGCGGAGTGGCAAAAGTCGAATTACCCCTGCGATTTATTTCGCGGTTCAAATTATTATTTTTTTTTATAAATATTTTTCCTGTAAAGATCACGACAAAATCTATGGACCCTCCAATTTTCAGAGTTGTTGGGTCATTCTTCTGATCGCGAAAAATCACGAAAGTTGGGTTACGTTTCCCGTTGGTCCATACATGGTAGAGTAGCAAAAATGGAAAATGTGACGAAACGGTGCGGCACTTATTTCACCGTTTAACTTTTTTCTTTTTTTTTTGATATTTGTCCTGGAAAGATCACGATCTAATCTACAAGATATCAAAATTTCAGATTTTTTTGCCAAATTTTCAAAGCGCAAAAAATTGCCAAAGTTTGCGCTTGGAATTTTTTGGACTGGACCCGCCTGCGCCTCCCAGTCGCCGCCCCCCATAAGAACCCTGTCCGGAAGGCCAGGAAAGTC